TGTATATATTGTATATATATATATGTATATGTATATATATATATATATATATATAAGGGAATACCTTAAATATACACGTGGTAGACCCTAGGATGAGCTTGACTTATACGGAGCTAGACTCCAAATGATACGTACTTTGTTGTTAGCATCGTTGGTATGGTTGCCAATGCTAGAGGAAGGGTTTGCTGAGTCTGATCGGTGTATTTGGCACTTTTACATATCGAAATTGAAATTATCAGTGTCGCACATTTTTTCAACATTAAACTAGTGTTTCATTTGCTCGGTGGAATAGCAGTTGAGCCGACATTACTGTCTACTGTATAAATACTGTACTTATCTGTCTTTGATAATCCGCTTGTTGTAAGGACTACGTTGCTTTTAAGACTATCTGCATAGGCGTGTATACATATTATCATATCCGTTGTACGTATATACATACATCCCATATTCTCTATTTGCACGTATCATTCAATATTCAATTATTTTCTATTCGCTTGGCCACAATAGGTTTCAAGGCACGGCCAAGGGTGTGGGAACGTCAAAGATTCTGGGGCGAGTGCATGCTGCCGATGTGTTGCTGGGTGGCGGCTACATGGCTTGCACCATAAATGTACTGGAGGGCCAAAATATAGAAATGCTTCTAGGTACGTACAACTACTGGTTGATCAGTATTGGTCGATATACCGAGATCCTCATGATGAGGTGCTTTTTATGTAGTTTGTCGAGGACGTTGTATTATTGTTGTGCTCACACGAGCGTCGCGATTTTAGGTGCGGAATCTAAATGACACCTCCTTGAGAATATGGTTAAAATGTGCATATATTCTCACCTCCTCGCGCTTACTCCCGCAGGCCTCGATATGTTAAAACGACACCAGTGCTCGATAGACTTAAAGAAGAATGTGCTGCACATTGGGACGACTGGCGGAGAAACTCCCTTTTTGTCCGAAAACGAATTGCCAAAGGTAAGATATGGTTTCTGCCTAATAACACCTTGGTTTCTGTGTACAGCCAGGGTTCTCTAACAGAAATGAAAAATTTGTTGGTAATGTATTTTTTTATTTGTTGATATAGCCACGGATGTCATTAGTAAGGAAAACCACGAGTTTCACATAAAACTACGTTGATTTACTTCGTACGTTCTTGTACGTCATTTTGAGCACATGGCTACGCTACTTTATCCGATTGACTGCGCGTGTTAAATTATGCGTTTTATCTATCAACAGTAGAGAGGCACAAAAAGAATTCAAACGCACACTCTTAGTGTATGATCTGTGGTCATACTTCTGCTTTTTATATATAAACAGGAAATTGATATTACGCAAGTAGAACCATCCACGCCCACACCTACAACACCATCCGCAATCAACACAACTACACCGACGGCACCTGAAAGCAAATTCGACGCGCAGTCGATACAAAGGCTGGTGGACTTCGGTTTCGAGCGAGCGCAGGTAGTTCGAGGGTCTATATATATA